AATAAAACTGAGACATTTAATTCCTAGATGAAAAGTGAAATCTATCTGTAACCACATTCAAGTAATACAATATTCTTACTCCCCTGACATGTACCTTAATTATTCAGTGTTTTATTATTTTAGTTTTCTACTGAATGAAAATTTGATATTTTAAAATTTGGATTTAACAACTATATTTATGAGGTTTGTTTCCCCTATATTTATTAGAACTTTTTTTAAACCTTGACTGTTATATGAAATAAAATGGGAAAATTTTTGGTCATTATCTATGCCCTTAAATTGTTTATATAGGATAGGGATTACCTGATCCTTGAAAGTCTGAAAACACTTGTCTGTGGAGTACAGGCAAAATTTTTAGTATTTTTTTGTTTTCTGTTTTTAATCAATGCATTCATTTCCTCTCTGAAAATCGGCCAATTTTACCCATCTAAAGTTAATTTTACTTAATTTATATTTTCCTAGAAAAGTCTCCATCTCCTAGAGATTTTGAAATTAGTAAGATAGTGCACATAAAATATTTTACAGCCTAGTTTTTAAAAACAGTGAAACCAGGGCACCTGGGTGACTCAGTGGGTTAAAGCCTCTGCCTTCGGCTCAGGTCATGGTCTCAGGGTCCTGAGATTGAGCCCCGTATCAGGCTCTCTGCTCAGCGGGGAGCCTGCTTCTCCCTCTCTCTCTCTGCCTGCCTCTCTACCTACTTGTGATCTCTCTCTCTCTGTCAAATAAATAAATAAAATCTTAAAAAACAACAACAACAGTGAGACCTATCCTATATATAAGACATAAAATATGTATGTAGAATTTAATAAGAACAGTCATCTAAACATCACACAGGCCAGAAAAGAGGAACCACCTGTATCTTATATGCCAGTCCTTATAAACCATCATATATTTATCCACTCCACTGACTGAACAGGTCTGAAAACCTAATCTCAGCTGTACCTTATGAAACTAGAAAAGAAAGAGAAAATTAAATCTAAAGAAGTAGAAAAAAAGGAAATAATAAAGGCCAGACTGGAAATTAAGGAAGTAGAAAACAGAAAAATAGAGAAAATCGATAAGACCAAAAGCTGGTTTTTGAGAGTAAGAAAAATGGTAACTCTTTTTGTAGAATGATGAGGACAAAGAGAGAGAAGACACAAATTTTCAATAACAGAAAGGAGTGTGTGCACATCCTATCATTATTAAAAGGATAGTAGGACAATAATATGAACAATTGTGTCAATGAACTAAACAATTGAGATGAAATCACAAATTCCTTATAAAACCAAAGCCACTGAGCGTACTCAAGAAGAAAAAGATCATAGCCTTATATCTAATAAAGACATTTCCTTGAATCTATTGAAGAAATTAGATAGCCTTTTATCTGAATAGCTCATTTTTGTAATTTACAACCTTCCCACAGAACCTAGATGGCTTCACTGATGAATTCTACCAAACATTTAAGGAAGCAACAATTGATAGTTCTACACAAATTGTTCCAGAAAATAGAAGACTCATTCTGAGAGGCCAGCATTACCCTGATATTAAAACCAAACAAAGGCATTAGAAAACAAAACCACATAATCAATATCCCTCATGAACGTCAATGCAAAAATTCTAAACAAAACTACAAACTGAATTTTGCAACATATAAAAAAGATAATACATCATGATCAAGTGGAGTTTATCCTAGGGATGCAAGGTTGGCTTAATGTTCAATTCAAAAATCAATCAAGGTACAGCAGTTGCCCCCTTCTCCATGGGGAATATGTTCCAAGACCCCCAGCGGATACCTGAAACCACAGAGAGTACCAAACCCTATATAAACTATGCTTTTTCTTATATGTACATATGTATGATAAAGGACACAGTAAGAGATTAATAACAAACTATAAAATAGAATTATAATGATATACTGTAATAAAAGTATGTTAATGTGCTCTCTCACTCTCTAAACATCTTACTATACTGTACTCACCCTTCTTGTAATGATATGATATGATGAGGTGAAGTGAGGTGAATGACATAGGCAGCGTGACCTAGCACGAGGCTGTTATTGACCTTGTGATGCTACATCAGAACAAAGATCGTCTACTGGGCTGGACTGTGTTGGCAGTGCGTAACTGAAAAGGTGGAAAGTGGAACTGTGATAAGGGGGGACTACTGGAATTCACCATATTAGAAAAGTAAAAAACACAACTCATATGACCATCTCATTCAATGCAAAAAAGGATTTGAAAAATTAAAAAATTTATCTTTGACTTTAAAAAGCTTTTTCAGGGGTGCCTGGGTGGCTCAGTCAGTTAAGCGTTAGACTCTTGGTTTTGGCTCAGGTCATGATCTCAGGATCATGAGCTCCAGACCCATATCAAGCTCTGTGCTCTACAAAGAGTTGGCTTGGGATTCTTTCCCCTCCCTCTCTCACTCCCTATGCTCTTCCCTGCCCTTGTTCACATGCTGGCTCTCTCTTCCTCTCACTCTCTCTCAAATTAATAAATAAATAAATATCTTTAAGAAGTTTTTTCAACAAACGTGGACTAAAAAGGAACCTCCTTAAGCTGATAAAGGGCATCTGTGAAACACCTACAGCCACAGTTCTATTTAAAGATGACAGAATAAATACTTTTCACCTAAGACAGACAAGGCAAAGATATGAGCTTTCACCACTTTTATTCAACCTGGTACTGGAGAGTCTAGGTAGTGCAAAAGTCAAGGAGAATAAATAAAAGGCACACAGATTGGAAAGGAAGAGAGAAGACTGCTCCTATCTTCGGATGCCATGACTGTATATAGAGAAAAGTCTAAAGATCCTAAATGGGAAAAAAACTGTTTAAAAAAAATAAGTTCAGCAAGGTCAGTGTACATTTTTTTTATTTTTTATTTTTTAAAAGATTTTGATTTATTTATTTGACAGAGAGAGAGAGAGAGAGACACCAAGAAAGAGAACACAAACAGGGGGAGTGGGAGAGGGAACAGCAGGCTCCCCGCTGAGCAGGGAGCCCAATGCAGGGCTCGATCCTAGGACCCTGGGATCTCAACCTGAGCCAAAGGCAGATGCTTAACGACTAAGCCACCTAGGCACCCCTGAAATCAATATATTTTTAAAATCAATTATAATTCTATATGTTAGCAATGAATAATCAGAAATTGAAATTACAAATGAACAACTTATTAAAAAAAACAAATGAAACACTTATAATAGTAACAAAATATGAATTATGTAGGGATAAGTCTGACAAAAGATGTGTAGCAGCGCCAGAGTGTCTCAGCTGGTTAAGTGTCTGCCTTCCGTTCAGGTCATGATCCTGGAATCCTGGGATCAAGGCCCATGTAGGGCTCCCTGCTGGGTGAGGTACCTACTTCTCCCTCTACTCTTCCCCACCTCTTGTGCTCTCACTCTCTCTCTCATGTGCTCTCCCTCACGTGTGCTCTCATATAAATAAATAAAATCTTAAAAAAAAAGATGTGTAATGCCTATACTCTACAAACTATTGTGGAAAACCTATACACAATAAAAATTTGTCAAAAGAAATAAAGGACTTCAGTCAATGGAGAGATATACTGTCTTCAGAGATTCAAAGACTCAATATCGTCAGTATGTCAATTCTTCACAAACTGATCAATGAATAAGATGTAATCACAATCAAAATCCCAACAGGGTTTTTTGGAGAAATTGCTAAGCTAATTTTAAAAATTTCATATATGGAAAGCAAAGGACCTAGAATGGCCTGCTCAGTCCTGAAAAAGAAAAACAAGGACACCTGAGGGGCTCAGGCAGTAGAGCATCTGCCTTTGGCTCAGGTCATGATCCTGGAATCCTGGGACCAAGCCCCACGTAGGGCTCCCTACTCAGCAGGGAGCCTGCTTCTTCCTATCCCTCTGCTCTTCCTCCCTACTACCGCTCCTTCTCTCTCTCTCTCTCGCTCACTCTCTCAAATAAATAAAATCTTTGAGAAAAAAAAAAAAGAACAAATTTGGAGGATACACTACTGGATTTCAAAAGTGTAAAACTGCAGTCTTATTAACAGTCTCAAGACAGTCTCATTAACAGAACACAACAGAATGTCCAGAATAGTATCCACCGCAGATGACAGACCATATCAAGTGTTGAGAAGGAAGTGAAGCAACTGCCACATTCCTACGCCACTGGGGGGAGTGTACAATGTTTCAACTACCTTGGAAGACAGTTTGACGGTTTCTTAAAAGGTAAGCATACACACATACCATTGTGACTTAGACATTCCATTCCCAGATATTTGCTCAAGAGAAATGAAAGCAATGCATCTGTATGTGAATATGCATTGGAACTTGTTTGCTGTAATCAAAACAGCAACAATTCAAATGCCCATCAACAGAGAATGGATAGAATGGACAGTGTACAACCATACAAGGAAATACTACTTAGCACTAAAATGCATGAACTTTTAATAAAAGCAACAATGTGTATGAATCTCAAAAGAAATTATGACTCGGGGCACCCGGATGGCTCAGGTGGTTAAGCGTTTGCCTTCGGCTCGGGTCATGATTCCAGGGTCCTGGGATCGAGCCCCGCATCGGGCTCTCTGCTCGGCAGAGAGCCTGCTTCTCTCTCTCCCTCTCCCGGCTGCTCTGCTTACTTGTGCTCTCTCTCTAGCTCTCTGTCAAATAAATAAATAAAATATTAAAAAAAAAAAAGAAATTATGACTCGTCAAAGAAGTCAGACCAAAAAAGTGTACATTCTGTATAATTCTATTCATATAAATTCTAGAAAATTAAAAATAATCTTTGGTATTAGAAAGTGCATCAGACATTGCCTGGGGAAGGGATGAGGCTGGAAGGAGAAATGATAAAGGGGCACAAGGAAACTTTGAGTGTGTTAGGTATTTTCTTTTTATCGTCATAACCGTTTTGTGGGAGTATCCATAATTCAGAAATTATCAGACTGTATACTTTATATATGTGTAGTTTTTAGTAAATCAAGTCAACCTAAGAAGTCTGCTGAAAACAAACAAAAGTAAAGGAAAGATAGTGCTATTACCTTCATCTCATTCAGCTCGTGAAGTTCCTTAGCAGGATTTTTTTCTAAGTGACCTGCCTTATTCAGAGCCATAGCTGTTACCATGCCTTTGCAACAACTGGGGGGACAAAAAGTACACACACAACATGATCGATTTATTGTTGGTTCCTCTTCTAAATGTTTCAAATCCCTATACAGTGGAAGTTTACCATAACAATTAATCTGTTGAGAATAATCTCTCAGTTTCTCACCCCCATCCTGTCCCCCACCCATTTTTCTCACTCTTGACCACCGGTAACATTGAATGGAAATGAAGGGGAAATTTGGCTAGACCATAAAAGCTACTTCCTGAATTTGAAGCAATCTTAGCGACACATGCTTCCTAGTTAATAAATTATGATTTTTCAGCCTCATCTTTATTTGGTAGGAATCTCCCACTTTTTCAGATAGAAGGGATTTTCAGTTGAAATTTTTTGAGAGATGTTTTGGGGGCACCTGGATAGCTCTGTTAGTTAAGTGTCTGCCTTCAGCTCAGGTCGTGATCCGAGGTCCTGGAATGGAGCCCCTCATTGGGCTCCCGGCTCAGCTTGTTTCTCCCTCTCCCTTTCCCTCTACCCACTCTCTCTCTCTCTCTCTCTTAAATAGATAAGAAATAATTTAAAAAAAAAAAAAAAGATGTTTCAGTTGGTGTTCAGTGAAACCAAGCATATTTAGTGAAATATAAGTATACAATCAGTTTTGTATGGAATGACACGGGAAGTACAAGCTTCTTCATAAATGCTCCCCATTATATGCAAACATGTAAGATATATCTTAATGCAAACAAATTGACCTTTTTGGTTTAATTTGGTTTTCTTTTTACTAATTCTCACTCCAATATAAGCATATACTTCCCACCCTACCTATGGTAACACTGTTCAAAGGAATTCGAAAGCCATTGGGAAAACACTACTGCTACCTCCCTACCCTTATCTCCTCTACTTTATGTCACATTTAATCTTCAAAAGGACAATAATAAAACAACAGAGAGTTTCACCTGTTCAAATAGCTGGAATATTGCGCCAACTTTCTGGCCAGCGCAATTGCGTCTAGCTCCAACTTTGCTACTCCCAGATCATGTTTCTCAGCACTTTCCTCCCTCAAATTTGGGAGAGTGTTTTGGTCAGTGAAGTCAGGCACCATTAAAATCAACAAGCTTACCATCCACTGGATCATAGATATATGCAATTCATCCATCTGTTAAAAAAATGATTATAATATAAATGACTTATTTTAAGTAAATCAAACAGTGAAAACCATACAAATTTAAAAATAGAAATCACACCTGTGTCCAACTTTAAACAACACTCTCATTCTAAATGACATCAAATCACCACTACTCAGCTAGGGTAAACTTAGTTTCTGTTGTTTACTATACGAACTCCATTAAACTACCCTCCTCCTCCTCTTTAGCTTGGTCAAGGGAATTAACCTATGAAAGCCGCAGTTCCCCAATTGTGTACCAAGGCATTGAAGGGCTCTGCAGCCAAATCTCAAGGACGCTATGGGACTTTAAATTCTTGAGGGAAGTGACAGTGTTATGTGACATCTATCAGCACAGCACGAACTTGACATAGATCACAGTTCCAACATTAGATGCACTGTACCACTTCTGATGGCTTCTTAGCTTTGCAAAGCTGGTTTTATTGATGGTTTTATGGTTTAAAAAAAAAGTACTTTGGGAAAATCAAGGTACAAGAGGCAATGAGGATGGTACTGTCCAACCCGTTTCTAAGGTTAAAGTCGTACAGTGTTCAAGTACATATGTTCCATTGATAAATGATTTTGATGAGAGGAAAATAAAATAAAAGAATCTCTTTTTCTCAATGTATATATATCTAAGAAGTTAAATTAAAACATTATATTTTACAAAGCTTATTTGAATAAGCAATTAGAATCAGGCAGCATCAAAACCAAAAAGTGGTTAGGGACATTCTGCAGGTAGGGGCCAGGAAAAACATTTTAATAGAGAAGATGCTAAAGTAGAGAAAAGAAATTATTTAATTGATTTACAACTCAAATGTTTGCCCTATTTGGGAAAATTCAGGTATTTGGCTATCGTGATAGTTGTCCTTGTGTTTCATTTTTTCATAATCAAGAGAATCTAGTTGACTGTTTATAATTAGTTCCTGAGTTTTGTTTTCTCAGGTTCAAGTGCATGAGCTCCTCTGGACTTGGTTTGTTTATAGAAGCTACCAGTGGCCCAAGAGCTACCCCAGTCTAATGGCCTCCTTGTTTAACTGTTTCAACATGTATTACTTTTTCAAACAGTTACTAAGTTATTAGGAAAGAAATATTTAGTAAGTTGTTTGAACCTAGCTACTTAATAAACTGAACTCTGGAGTTTTTCTTTTGGTTGAGGAGTATGAAAATACTGAGACCCAAAGGGCAATAACCGGTCAAGTTTGGGAACCTCTGCATTATGCTATTTGGAGAAGCTGGGACCCAGAAATCAAATGCAGAAAACTTCATGAAATGCAAATGTCAAGCACACCATCCTCTTCACGTGCTCCCTCCCCTTTCTCTGTTGATGAGTTCCTCAGTACTCTTCTCCAGGCTTAAATATGACCCTGAGAAGTCTTTTTAACTTCCCCTGGCTTTAATTTGCTCCTTTCCCCACATTTCTATGGTACTTTGTACATCCCTATTATAACGGTTTGCACATCTGTGACCTCAATTAGCCAGTGCATCTCTTTAAGACATGGCCCATCATTTTATCCCTCAAAACCACACACAGTACTTGGCAAAGAATTAAGTGCTTAATAGATGTTTGTTAAATCGATAAATAATAATCAAACTCGGTAGCCCATCTGATAGTAAAACACAAGCCCCCCACCTCAGAAGGAAACATTATTAATGACCTAAAGCAATGTTGATGAATGTATTTTTACACCTTAATTAACACATCAGGAAAAGGGCAACTCTTCCTGAGGAATGGTTTAAAAAAGATTGTTATCCATTTTACAAGTTAAAAGATATTCCCCCCCCCCACATTCACAAGCTATGCCCGTCCTGCTTCTCAAAGTAAATAAATTCCTAACTGTTCTTTCTTATACCAATGGCCTGGATTATACTGTCATAGAAACAACTCATTTGTGCTTATACAAAATATTAATCATCCTTGAACTCTTCCTAATAGACAAAAAGAAACATGTTATCTTCATTTCAGAGTTATATTGGAGAGACTAAATGGTAGAATCTAGGGCATGCAATAGTTCATAGGTGAATTTAAAATTAGAATCAAGGGGCGCCTGGGTGGCTCAGTGGGTTAAGCCGCTGCCTTCGGCTCAGGTCATGATCTCAGGGTCCTGGGATCGAGCCCCGCATCGGGCTCTCTGCTCAGCAGGGAGCCTGCTTCCTCCTCTCTCTCTCTGCCTGCTTGTGATCTCTCTCTGTCAAATAAATAAATAAAATCTTTAAAAAAAAAAAATAAAATTAGAATCAAATTAAGCAAAAAAGTACATCTTTCACTTTCATAAAGATATGAAAGCATTCTTTGTAATTAGATAGAGAGTACATATGATAAGTTTTATAATAAACCAGAGGTTTACTGTGATCTGGATACAAAATCCTAAGAGAATTTTTAATGAATTAAGTGCTTTTTCTTTTATGAAAAGACTTGCTCCAAATTCACTAATCTTGTCAGGGATGACAAGTAGCTTACTTAGCCACCTTCTAGCTGATTTTTTAAATCATATTTAATTTGTCCCTTCAAAATATAAGTGATGTTTAATAATGAGTAAGAGGAATTTATGTTATGGACAGGTCATTTTGAAAATGATAGAAGAATTTCTATCTTGGTATGATTTTGCTGCTGAAAATGACACATAGCTCATTTTTTAAAACTTTCTAATTTATATACTTGAAAATCTGGAAATAAGTTTCTAATTGTTCTAAAATCTTACAGTTAAAGCATTTCAGCTGGCTGAGAATCTTTTGTTAAAATGTAGAAGTGCCCCAACGTCTAATGTCAGCAAGAACAACTGACTGACATTACGATAGAGGGAAATTTTAACTAGTCACAATTTAATAGAAACCTCTGCATAACACTCATGGAATTAAAGGCTGAGTCTTATTATTTAATAAAGACAGTCAATTATGCACTTCTTCAATTTTGATTCATGTTTCTTTGTGAGCTATCATTTCAGAGTGACAGTCTTTAAAAGCAAGTGCTGAAGCTGACCTTCAAATGACTTTATCACTAAGTATTAACTTGTGATTATAAAAAATTATGAAGCCTGTTCTCTCACATTTTACTAAAAATTACCTTAAAGTGTTTTTTACTTCAGCCTGTTCCACTGTTTGTATGTGTGTTATACACATAAGTTATATACAAAAGACAAAGATCTTTTTGCTGATAGAGACACATAGTGGACAGGGTTTGAGGATCAGAGTTTTAGCCCATCAAGCAGCACAGAGTAGACGGAATTTATGACATAAAGGAAAAAACAAAACAAAACTGAAGGTAAGAAAATGAATCAGAGAAGAAAATGAATGATGGGTGGAACAAAGGCAAACTTTTTCATTTTTATATAGTTATAGCAGTTAATATGGATATACACAGTTCCTCAGGGAATTGATAATCTCGCAAGTTTTCTACAAACTATAACACCATAATGTAGTGTCAAAATAGAGGTATATTAAGGCACTTTCTAAATAAGCCTGTATTATTATAAAGATTGAATTCAATAATATAAAAAATTGAGTAAATGATTCCATGGAGATAAATACCTAATAGTAAATTATTTACCGAAGAAGGAGTTAATGTAGCAATACCATAAGACAACAGTGCTGGAATGTTCTTTCTTTCTTCACTCAATAAGTATTTATTAAGTCTCATTATGCAACAGTACTCTGTTACCCTTTTTCTTAATTTTGGTTGTCTTCCAAGTCATAGAAATTTCTCCTAAGTTTGGGGATCCCCTGGATTCAATCTTCCCGTCTTTACATATGTGCACTTCAACTCTTGGTGTCTATATATTTACAACATATTCATAGACTGATATAACGTAATGCTTCATAAATAGCATTTCCATATAACATCACAGTCTCTGCCTTTCAAATTCCTTTTTAAAAAAAATTTATTTATTTATTTGAGAGACAGAGAGAGACCAAAAGAGACAGAGACAGAGCATGAGTGGAGGGGGTGGGCAGAGAGAGACGCAAACTCCCTACTGAGCAGGAAGCCAGTCACAGAGGTCCATCCCAGAACCCTGGGATCATGTCCTGAGCTGAAGGCAGCTGCTAAACTGACTGAGCCACTGAGGTACTCCTTAAATTTCAAATTTAAGCAATATTTAAGTGAATTAAGTTCCTTTTACCAATTTTGTAAGATCAAATATTTGTATACTGTTTAATTATAACAAGAAATTCCGGTGTGAATCTAGATTATAATTAAGACTAGGCAGTAGGAGTAAATACAGTAAACTATGCCTTTGGAAATTATTACTTCATGCTGTGCTGGCTAAGAAGTCCACAGGTTCAGGGGTGCCTGGTTGGCTCAGTCAGTTGATCACCTGGCTCTTGATTTTGGCTCAGGTTATGGTTCAGAGCCGTTGTGATCTAGCTCCATATCTGGCTCTGTGCTCAGCGGGGATTCAGCTTGGGATTCTCTCTCCCTCTCCTTCTGCCCCTCCCCCAACTCATGTGTATGCTCTATCTCTAAAATAAATAAATAAATCTTAAAAAAAAAAAAAAAGAAAAGTTCACAGGTTCAGTTCTTCAGAATTGCAGAAGAATTCTATTTGTCCTAAAAATGATAGACTAATATATATGGTGGCATCTTGTCTTTCTTCCTAATATCATGTTTCTGTCATCCATCAGCCAGGCAGTAGCACCAACATAAATCCTTAAAATGTTCACATTCCAGATTAAGACTATTAAGGAAAAAAAAAATCAGTATACTGAGTAAAGAGTAAAGATAATAATTAGAACTTGAAACTTTTGATCATCTCTGAAACTTCATTCCTAGTGCAGGAATATACTACGTTTAAAAATCCCTGCAAATCATTTGAGTAATAATATCACAAAAGTTCCCAGTGTGTCCTCCTAAACTCCTGCTTCAGTTGGATAGGCATGACCTAGTATCTCCTTGAAGAAAACTCCCAGCCAAGGCAAAATATAATTTCACAAACCCTTATAAGTACATACATGGCGCTGAAGTTCAATGTTACCATTGTTAATCTCATTGCTTATCTTCAAAAGCCATTGTTGAATCATGTTAAATATTTGTGCTTGAAGTACCCTGAAGGAAAAATCAAGTAAAATAAATATGAGATATACTTAGAGTATAAAAGTCTATCAACTAAAAGAAAAGGTTTTATTTGGGTGGACCTAGAAATGTTGGTGTTGACAACTCTTTTGAGAATTCAGAGAAAGGGAAATGAAAGCCCTGAATTACCTGGTATAATGGCTTACTCATTATCACAGCCTTCCCAACCCTGGGCAGGTAGCAACAGGCATTATGCACTTTGAACAAGGTAAATCTTAGATTCAGTGCTAGCTCTCTACTAAAAAAACTCACCCTCATACCCTTTACATTCACTTCTAGGCAGTGAGGCCACAAAGTGAGAAGAATGAATTTTGAAATTCTCAAGAGATCAATTTCCAATATGAAAGTGTGAGGAACAAAGTTGATCCGTGCCACCCCCCCAAACCCCCGCACCCCCCTACCCCATCCTCCAACCCCCACCCCCACCAAGTGAGGCTGGTGAGAATTACTTAAAAAACAAAACAAAACCAAAACACTGAAAGCCTCTGGAAACGTCCTAAGGACAAAGAGCAACTGAAGAAACAAGTGTTCAAGACAATCTATGAAAATTCAGTAAGAAAGGTAAGAAGAGCCAATGGTATTTAAAACAAGGCTACTCCCTCTCTCTCGCTCTCAGCTCAGTGAGGCACAGAACTCCCTCCCTCGCCCTCCAGCTCGTGGTAGGTCGGTCGGAGGGCATTCTTCCCGAGAGGCACAGGACTTCCAAGGTTTCTTACATGACCCCAGCTGCCTATTGCTGAGGCTAGGTACTGGGAAAATGTAGCTGAGAAGTGGGGATTCCCTTCTGTCCAGAAGAAAGCTGTGGGAACTTACGGGCCAGAATCCACATCCATATACTGAGGAATGGTACCAATAATGTTTATCGATGCATCCAACTGAGATTTCATTTCATTAACTTTTTCATTAAGTCTTTCCCATTCTTCATGAAGCATTTCAGGAAACTGCAGGCCATTTACCAACTTGAAAGAACAGAATTCTAGAGAACTAACCAAACTTGAAAGAATTTTAGATATACCTAGAAAAGTGAGGAAAGTACTAATTTTAAAAAGTGTTCATAAGTCTACTATTGCAATAATAAATTACAAAAATACCAACGGGGAGGGGCTTATCTTCTTTTCATCTTTTTATTATCCTACAGTTTGCCTAGCAGGGAACCTTGCAAAGAGTAGTTGTTAAACAAATGTTCAGTAAAAGTAAATAAACACAGTGCAGTCAGTGCTTTTCTGGCTCTCGGACTAGTTGTTTCTTTGACGACAGTTTATACTCTTAAGTTTCTTGTCTTCTCAGCTGAGAACCAAATGCAGAAACTACAAATTACAGTTTTCTGTAACAGGCATTAATTCACTCAGTGATTCTGTTAAGAAGACAATGATGATAAGCAGTTCCTTTGTGATCATAGGGTCGTTAATAACAGAAATGAGAATGGTTTAACACTTGAGTCATTTTTTAGGTCATTGTTCAGGTTTTCATAAAGCTTATTGTTTTGGTCTGAACAAGGATTGAGTCTGGATCCTAATCTTTGACAAATTCACTGTGAAATCATGGTAAAATATCACCTCTATACTTTTGTCTTAACTCATTTGCAAAATAAGAGATGATATGCTCCCATCTTAGGGGCACCAGGGTGGCTCAGTCAGTTACGCATCTGCCTTTGGCTCAGGTCATGATCCCAGGGTCCTAGAATTGAGTCCCACATCAGGCTCTCTGCTCAGCAAGGAGTCTGCTTCTTCCCCTTCTCCCTCCTACTCTTCCTCTGTGTTCTTTCTCTCTCTCTCAAATAAATAAATAAAATCTTTAAAAAAAAGAGAAGATATGCTCCCACCTTAGAGATTTATAAAGAGAAATGGTTAAAAACCAAACTTTTTTTGTCCTTAATGAAATATTTTACTGCCTTCATCAGGAAATTTTGATCTCTTATGAGTATTCAAAATGATCTGTTAATTTCACTATTCATTCATCATTTTGACTTCTTCATTTATTTTAAACCATTTACTACTTCATTTTTTTCTCTTCCCACTATATATTCTCATGGGAATTATTAGCTTCTTATCTCTAACTACATTACTGATGCTATAGATAATTAAGATTGTGTTTTCCCAATGAAGTAGTTTTATGTTGAACAATAGTGCCAGTCAATGAACCAGGGTTGCCCAAACATTTCACTGGGAGGGATTCTTTTTTTTTTTTTCTCTTTTTTTTTTAAATTTTAAGTAGGCTCCATTGCTCAACATGGGCTTGAACTCAAGACACTGAGATCAAGAGTCACATGCTCTACCAACTGAGCTAGCCAGGCAGCCTAGCTGAGAAGGATTCCTATGTAACACATAACACAGTGAATAAAGTCATCATTCTCATGAAATACAGTATCATTCAGAGTCTCAGATTATCTCTAGGATTTCTCATATACAATGTCCAATATCAATCAGAAACAATCAAGAATGTGAAAAGAATTGACTCTTATGAGTCAAGACAAAATACAGACAATAAAAAAAGACCTATAGGAGAACCAGATTATCCGGCATGAATTTTAAAATTAACTGTGAGCAGAACAGAAAACCAAAAAGTACATCCACACTTATATGGTCAATTAATCTATGACAAAGGAGGCAAGTATATATGATTGACAAAAGACAATCTCTTTGATAAACTGGAAAAACTGGACAGCTGCATGCAAAAGAATGAAACTGGACCATTGTCTTACACCATACACAAAAATAAACACGAAATGGATTAAAGACTAAATGTAAGACCTGAAACCATAAAACTCCTAGAAGGAAATAGGCAGTAATCTACTATAAGTGATCAAGACAGCTGGTACTGGCACAAGGACACATATCCAGATCAATAGAATAGAATTCAAAGTCCAGAAATAAACCCATACATCCATGGTCAACTAATTTTTGACAAGAGTGTCAAGACCATTAAATGTGGAAAACGTGGTCTTTCTAACAAATGGTAGTGGGATAACTGAATATCCACACGCAAAAGAAGGCTTTACCTCATACTATATACAAAAATTAACTCAAAATGGTCAAATATCATAATATAAGAGCAAAAACTACAAAACTCTTAGATGAACACATAAGGGTAAACTTCATGACTTTAAATTTGGCAAAGGATTCAAAGATATGACACTGAAAGCACAAACAAAAAAAAAAGTAAATTGGACTTCATCAAAATTTAAAATTTTGGACTGCAAAGGACACCATCCAAAAAATGAAAAAACAGCCCATGGAGTAAGAGAAAATATTTACAATTCATATAGCTGAAAAAACACTTGTATATAGAGTATATAAAGAACTCTAACAGTAACAGAAAGACAAAAAAAAAAAAATAATTAAAACATGGACAAAGGATCTGCATAGACATTTCTCCAAAGAATATATATAAATGGTTAATAAGCCTTTAAAAGATGCTCAACATCAGTAGTCATCAGGAAAACATGAATCAAAACCATTATGAGATACTACTACATACCCACTCATATGGCTAGAATCAAAAGTCAGACAACAAGTGATGGCAAGGATGTGGAGAAATCAGAGCCCTCATACACTGGGGGTGGGTATTTAAAACTGTGATAATGGTGGCACAAGTCCGTGAATGTACTAAAAATCATCAAATTATATACTTTTTAAAATTTTATTTATTTATTTATTTATTTTTTATTTATTTATTTGACAGACAGAGACCACAAGTAGGCAGAGAGGCAGGCAGAGGGAGAGAGGGGAGAAAGCACGCTCCCCGCCGAGCAGAGAGCCCGATGCGGGGCTCGATCCCAGGACTCTGGGATCATGACCTGAGCCGAAGGCAGAGGCTTTAACCCACTGAGCCACCCAGGCGCCCCTATATACTTTTTTTTAAAGGATTTTTTTTTATTTATTTGAGAGACAGAGAGAGCATGAACTGAGGGAGAGGCAGACTCCCCACTGAGCAGGGAGTCTGACTCGGGGCTCGGTCCCAGGACCCTGGGATCAAGACTTGAGCTGAAGCCAGATGCTTAAGCGACTAAGCCACCATGGCATCCCCAAATTATATACTTTAAATTGGAAATTGTACTATATATGAATTATATCTCAAAAAAAGTAGTGCTCAGGGACACCTGGGTGGCTCAGCCGGTTAATGGTTGCCTTCAGCTCAGGTCATAATCCCAGAGTTCTGGGATCGAGTCCTGATCCCAGCCTGTTTCTCCCTCTGCCTGCCATTCCTCCTGCTTTATACTCTCATTCGCTCTGATTTAAAAAAAAAAAAAAAGAAAGAAAGAAAGAAAAAAGAAAAGAAGCAGTGCTCAATACTTTATTTTGTTTTTTTTTTTTAAAGATTTTATTTCTTTATTTGACAGAGAGATAGAGAGCACAAGTAAGCAGAGCAGCAGGCAGAAGGAGAGAGAGAAGCAGGCTCCCTGCTGAGCAGCGAGGCCCAATGCGGGGCTTGATCCCAGGACCCTGGAATCATGAACTGAGCCGAAGGCAGTCGCTTAACCAACTGAGCCACCCAGGCGCCCCTTGTTTGATTTTTAAAACTGTATGTAACATTATTTAGATTTTAAATATTAATTGTATTACAAATAATCATCATGATTAAAATGCTTTATAATGTCAAACATGTCATTGCTTTTTTCTTACCATTATCCCCATTTATTCTTATTTCAAATTCTTTATAGAGTCTTCCTATGGTTTTCACAATTTCCTGCATGTACTGTAGCTCTGGTGGCATCTCCCCCTCCATACTTCTGTGGCGATTCAATATCCCAAACCCAATATCTGTCCAGTTTTCCTGTAAATGTTTAATAATCTTGAGAGAATCATATTTTGACACCAGCAAATACCCAGTATACTTGTCTTTATCTTCAGTTAACACCTAGAGAATGAAAGGGGGTGAGGAAATTAGACTATTATTCACTAATGATTTCATCAAAGTCTACCCAAGATCCTTATTTCTCAATGACTGCCAATTATTTTAGAGTTATATACCTTATTATTACTTGTTCATACAATTTTTTCATGTGACATGAAAAATTATTATTATTATTTTCAAAATTAAAGCCATTTAAGTGTCTGCCTTCAGCTCAGGTCACGATCCCAGGACCCTAGGATCAAGCCCCAAGGCTCACTCCCTGCTCAGCAGGGAACCTGCATCTCCCTTTTCCTCTGCCTGTGGCTCCCTCTGCTTGGGCTCTCTCTCTATCAAATAAATAAATAAAATCTTTAAAAAAAAATTAAAGTGAATTTAGGTTAATTATAATACCCCGTAAGATAACCCATATTTTACCAGATGAAAATAATTATATTAAATCCTATATGGGTAAAAATTAATAACAAGCAAATAAGGACCAGAGAGCTGAGCATGTTTAATTACTACCTGCTTCAGTGAGGATATCACCTATCTGTTTACATGATCCCCACTGGACTGGGAAAGTTGCTAGAATGTATAGGTTGTGTTTTATTTGTCTAGCCCGGAGTCCAAGTCCTGTAACAAAGTGTAATTGACAGATATGTGATTCAGATAATGCAAACGAATCACCCCTGCTTCAAAAAGAGTAATCAGTACAGGAAGCCATGTAGCAGAGCAATTAGGAGCAAGGATTTGGGGGGTGGAGAGACCTGGACTCATTCTGACTCCACCACTTAACCATTTATAGACAACTCGGGCAAGTGACTTAACATTTCTAAGCCTCCCTTTTGCGTCTGTGAGACTGGGAATAAAAAACTTGCATCAGGTGGTTGCGGTGAAAAGTACCACACCGTGTGGAAAGCACCTCCAGCCCAACAGGGTAAGTGCTTAATGAAGGCCAATTATTATTATTCCTATGAAATAAAGCTGCATGATTCTTTTTCAGTCTTATCATGAAATGTCAAAATTGCCAGATAAACAGAGTCACTAAACCTGCTACATACAAACAGGACGACAAACATCTTCAATTCTGAGACTATTCTGCTCCTGTCTTTCCAAAAGATAAGAAAACAGCTTCCTGGGATCTGGAGGAGACTTTGTCAGGCTGAGTCTGACACTCACTTTGGAGGTATTTCAATATCTTACATGGTTTCCTTTGTCAGCCTGCTATGACATTATAGTAATTTGATTAATGAAAGCTATTTTCAAAGCTCCAACTCTTTTAAGGAGATGTTATTAATAAACCAAGTGTAGTATACACCTATAGCGGAATAGTCTTCAGCCTTTGAAAGGAAGGAAATCCTGACACAGGCAACCAAACAGACAAGCCTTAAGGACATTATGCTGAAGGAAATAAGCCCGTTACAAAGGGGCAGATACTATGGACAGATATGTCCAGACATATGGTGTCTAGCATAGTCAAATTTTTTTTAAAGATTTTATTTATTTATTTGACAGAGAGAGAGAGAGAGACATCAAGAAAGGGAACACAAGCAGGGGGAGTGGGAGAGGGAGAGGCAAGCTTCCTGCTGAGTGGGGACCTGGATGCTGGGCTTGATCCCAGGATCCTGGATCATGACCTGAGCCAAAGGCAGATGCTTAACGACTGAGCCACCCCAGGTGCCCCTAGCATAGTCAAATTTAGAAAGACAGAAAGTGGAACGGTGGTTGTCAGGGACTGGGGGAGGAGGAAATAGAGGGGGTTCTTGTATTATGGGTAGAGTTTCAGTTCAAGAAGACAAAAAAATTCTGGACATGGATGGTGGTGGGGGGTGTACGACAATGTAAAAGTACTTAATGTCCCTGAACTATACACTGAGAAATGACTAAGATGGTCAATGTGATGTCATGAATATACTGTACCACAAGTTTTTAAAAAGATGGTATGAGGAGCACCTGGGTGGCTCAGTTGGTTAGGCAGCTGCCTTTGGCTCAAGTCATGATCCCAGGGTCCTGGGATTGAGTCCCGCATGGGGCTTTCTGCTCAGTGGAGAGCCTGCTTCTCCCTCTGCCTGCTGCTTTGCCTACTTGTGCTCTCTCTCTCTCTCTCTCTCTCTGTCTCTGTCAAATAAATAAATAAAATCTTAAAAAAATTAAAAAATAAAATGAAATGAAAAGATCGTATGAATTTTAAAAGTCCAAGTTGTCCTTAAGACAGAAGGAAGGTACGGGAGAGGCACAAATGTCACATCTGTTGATTAGAGGAGAAAATCAGAACTACCCTCACTGCCACCCAACTATCATTTCCCAGTTTTTTCCGGCAGCCTAAATTTATTTGCCTCAAAAATATGAAATAGAGGGGCGCCTGGGTGGCTCAGTGGGTTAAAGCCTCTGCCTTCAGCTCAGGTCATGATCCCAGGGTCCTGGGATGGAGCCCCACATCAGGCTCTCTGCGCAGTGGGGAGCCTGCTTCCCCTTCTCTCTATCTCTGCCTGCCTCTCTGCCTACTTGTGATCTCTGTCTGTCAAATAAATAAATACTTTTAAAAAAAATGAAACAGAACTGAAAAGAAAAAATTTTGGTGTATTTTTAAAGCCCCTGAAATCTTGCTGTTTTCTTTGTCTTTCAAAAAATACAGTATGGCGTTTTGAAAGGATGAGGTGTGACTCAGTTGTAGATGATGAGCGGCAAGCTTACAGACAGCATTCTGATTACCAAACGTTTTATGAGAGTCTTACCTTTTGCCACTGCTTGAAGTCTGCAATAACTGATTCAAATGTATTTTCTTTACTAAGAGATGAAATGTCTTTTCTATTGGAAGAAGGAAAAGGAGTAAGAGCAGGCTCTCAGAACAATGTATCAACAAAGAAAACCATGAATCCATACACTACAGAACAATATTGGGTTTCTCCTGAAGGGTTTTCAAACATGCCTTCCATCCTCATAAGCATTCATCTTTACATTTACAAACATAAATATACTTTCAGGCTCCAACCAGCCCTAAGCAATCAAGTTATAGGGTTGGAAATCATGCGAGTATCAAAAGGGTGGTCCCTTTTGGCCATCCAAAATTAGATCATCTTAAGAGCAATTCCTGTTGAATACGGCAGACAAAACAACTTGTAATTAGAAGGGAAGACTAAGGAATATTTAAGATGCAACGTTTAGGTCAGGAGCCCCAACTTTTGGTAAGAAAGTTTCCTTTAATATCTCTGAAGTCTTGGGGTGCCTAGGTGGCTCAGTTGTCAAGCATCTGCCTATGGCTCAGGTTGTGATCCTGGGGTCCTGGGATCAAGCCCTGCATCAGGCTCCCTGCTCAGCCAGAAACCTGCTTCTCCCTCTTCCATTCCCCTGCTTATGTTCCCTCTCTCATTCTGTCTCTCTCTCTCTCTCTGTCAAATAACTAAATGAATGAAATCTTTAAAAAAAAAAAATCTCTGAAGTCTCACAAGGAGAAACCTCTTGATAAAAGTTTCTGAAGAGAAAGAGAAAAGAATCCCTGCCTGACCTGTGCTCCCCTCCCAGCCTAGTCAGCAAACACGGATGGCAGCAGCCAACAGCTTGGATATGTACCAGCTTCAGCTTCAAGAACTTCTAACTCTGCTAACTCAGAAACCTTAGAGGATCTGAAAAATCGAAACCATTGTCCTCAATTTGAAATGGAAATGGCACCTAAACATTTTTCTTCAACAGACAGAACATCTTAAAGTAAACAAACAAACAAACAAAAAAACACCCCACAAAACCTTAGAAATCACTGAATCAAGCCTGCATTCAAAGTCCTGATTCCCACTAACTTTGGCTGTGATTTAATCATCCCACCTTGGCTTAAGTACTTTATAGGCAGCCTTGTCCCCTGTCAGATTTCTCTAATTGCTACAAAGTATAATATCCAAAAAAATCAGTCACCTTATAATGGCGATCCACTGATTCTATTTCTCTGCATATGCACTATGCTATAGAATCTGCAGATGGTTCAAGAAGTTCAGGGGCTCCAATAATAATGACATAAGTTGATGTGATTTTTTAAAAAGAGAAGAGGAGAAAAAGAAAAGGAAAGAAAAGAAAAGAAAACAACAAACCAGCTGAACAGCACAGAGGCAGCAGCAGGAGGGTAGAAGGAGCAGGATGGACCACAGAGATGGTTAGCACCAGAAACCACAGAACCACTCAAGCCCCTAGCGGACCGCAGCCTTGGAAGGGTTCCTAGTTATCCGACCAAATCAATGTTAGAGTCATCACAGGAGAAAAGAGAGGCAGAGAAAAAGAGAGAAAGAACTGGACTGAGTTATCAGACAGGACACAGCATAATGAAAACCAGGATTCTTGTAGACCCACCCATCATTTCGGAGGAACTCCTGCCATTTGGTAAGACTATCCTTAATAGTTTGCAATTTCTCCCTTGTAGAATCTTCATTTTGTTCCACTTCATTTTTAAATTTATTCATTGAGCTTCTCCATTTCAGTGTCAACTTCTGCAACAGTGCAAGGTCTGCAGTGTCCTAGGTAATACGCATGGAATCAAACCACTCATTCACATAACGAATACTTCTCAGCATGCATTAATAATATTAATTAGTGTATTAATATTATAATACTAGAGATGTCCATGGAAAATGGATCAAAATTGAGAAGGTATTCCTCTTTCAAAATATCATCATAACATCACACAGTTCCTTTGCTGGTGGATTTTCCATGGTACATAAAATATTGGAGACAAGATATTTTTCCTTTCCAACATGAGCCCAATTTCCCCATGCGACATTCATGGGAGGTAGTGTGGTACACTGGAAAGAACAGGAATTTCAAAGCCAAACAAAACCAAATGTGAATCCTAGCCAATTATTGGCTTTGTAACCTTACAGGATGTTATTTAATTTATTAGGATTAATTTTTCTAATCCATAAAATAAAGACCCTAATATATATCTCAAAGGATTTTTATAAGAATGAAATGAGGGGGCGCCTGGGTGGTTCAGTCTTTAAGCATCTGCCTTTGGCTCAGCTTGTGATCCTGGGGGTCCTGGGATCGAACCCCGCATCAGGCAGCCTGCTCAGAGGGAAGCCTGCTTCTCCCTCTCCCACTCCCCCTGTTCCCTCTCTCTCTCTCTCTTTCAGATAAAGAAATAAAATCTTAGAAGAAGAATGAAATGAGGGATGCCTGGATGGCTCAGTTGGTTAAGCATCTGCTTTCAGCTCAGGTCTTGATCCCAGGGTCCTGGGATTGAGTCCCACATGGGGCTCCTTGCTCGGTGGGGAGCCTGCTTCTCCCTCTGCCTCTGCCTGCCTCTCTGCCTACTTGTGATCTCTCTCTGCATCAAATAAATAAATAAAATCTTTTAAAAAAAAAAGAAATGACCAGTGTAAATGGTATGATTCTAGAAACACACTAAATGACACTTCTCTCCTTTTCAACCAAGTGTGCTCATTGAATTTTTGCATAAAATTGCATAAAATGGATCAAGAATACCACTACATCAATGAACACAGCTACTTACATTTTTCAGTTTAAATACTAACAAATAGAATAAGTCTATAAATAATATTTGCACTATTATTAACTTAGAGAAATTATTTAAATTGCTTTAATTAGGCTAGAAGACAAATACAAAGAAGAGCATTTATTCACATTTCCTTAGATTTTTCATTCCACTCACAATTAAGTGCAAATACAAAACTGTATTTAAAATTTACAAACTTAGCAAAGTCTTCTTATACCCTCAAAGGCTAGAGTCTCTTTTCTTATAATGTAAGTGAATTGAGCTTTACCTTGGTTGACAGCAGTATGATGAAATGCTTAGTATATTTATTCCAACCTTTTTCATTGAGGTAAAGTCTTTTGGCCAATATGACTCTATTTTTTTCAATTACCTATTTGAAAAAAGTACTAAAATGAGGAATCTAAGACATTAATAAACCACTGTGATTTATTAAACCCAAACCAATTTCAAATATCAATTTTTCATTGAATCACTAATTCAGTCACAATCTTTTGTTTAAATCATGAGCTAATCTTAATCATAAATTCATGTTTTCTAAACCTACTAAACTGAAATCAAACTGAAGTATACAGCAGAGGTTCTCAAGCAGTCTGATCTCAAAACCCCTTCGTACTCTTAAAAATTAGTGAAGACTCCAAAGAACTTTCATTTATATGCATTATATCTACTTGATATTCTCTGTATTGAAACTTAAAACAAAAATTATTTAAAATATATATTTGTTAATTCACTTAAACGTAACAATAAATCCAATATATATTAACATAAATAGTATTTTGATGCACTCATATGCAAATGAGAGTGAAAAAGGCAAATAACATCTTAATATTATGATGAAACTAGTTTTCACCTAATGAAAGGGTCTCACGTATCCCCAGCAGGTCCTTGGACCATATTTTGAGAACCACCAGTACATCGAATCAATTATATAGTCATTTAATGAACGACTGTTCTAGACACCGTGCATATAGCCATGAACAAAAGAGACAAAGTTCTTTTTTTAGGGAAGTGACATTCTAGCTATCACTCATTTCCTATTGGAAAGGACTTTAGGGATGAGCTAACACAAAGCCTCCACAAATTCAAAGTATTTTTCCACAGAAACCACTACAAGGGGTCAGTTCTCTATTTAAAATACTTCTAGAGTGGAGAAACTTACTTGTCTTCTTTATTCCACTGAACAGGACTACCTCTAAAAATATATAATACATTTACTATCATGATTGTTTCCTCTTGACATGGCATTTTAAAATTCTGCATCAGGATGAAACATTATATCCTAGATGAGATCTGACTATTCCAGAGGAAAATGAGACAGAAATTTGAATCTGGTGATGGTCATAATGTGCTGTTAATTCTTAGTAAACATCACATCCCAAGTGTGAGAATAGGCAACCAACCAGCAAACATTTCAAAAAATAGAATATTGTGGACTATGATACTTCCCTAAAGTATTATATTAGTGGCCCACAGACTGCCAAATTTTAACTCATTTGTCATCTTGGATGCCAAGGTAATAGAACCAAAATCATATACTCCTAATATGGTTACACTGTGTAAAAAAATACAAACAACTTTTCTAGTTTATTATTAGCATAAATTAAAGTTAAAGTTTTAACCTTTTCACAAACAACAGAAAAAGAATTCTTGCTCATACTTCATAGATTCTGGTGAGAAAAAGATCCCTTAACTTGGCAATAGCCAGGTACTTAATAGAGAAGAAACAAAAGAAAAAAAATGTAACTTTCCTTTTTCAAGGCCCATAATAGCTACATTATTCACAAATTAAATATACATCCTCATTTTTAAAATTTTTGTCTAGATTATTGAAAATTGTAAAACAAAACTTTATTCAGTCAAAAAAGAAGTCTGAGTTATGATTCCAGAGGAACCAACCTTTAGGGCCAGTTCATATGTGGCTGAGCTCCAAAGATCTCTTTCTGCCATTAACTGTTTAATATCACTCTCCATCCTTCCTCTTTGCAATGTGTATAAGTCATGGTATTCTTCTACAACCCTAAAAGAAAAATTAAAAAGTATAGACAGACTTTGTTTTTGAGAAGTCACATTTATTGGATAATTATTATGATATTAGACATTTAAAAAAACAACTTTGTTCTACAATAGGCAGTTTGTTCCTTTAAAAGTTATCATAAAGTAATTATGTATTAATAAAGTATTAATACCACTAATACCAAGTAAAATAGAAGAAAAAAACAGTCACATTTCATTTCAAGTAAAAAATTACATATATTGTTCCTGCTCTGAGCTCTTTTCTTCATATTGTTTATTCACTAGAATTTTCACAACATGGTATTCCAATAGAATAACAGCAGTATATCTAATTTTAAAAATCTGAATACAAAATAGAACTAGGGTTCTTTTTAATTTTTTTAAAGATTTTATTTATTTGTTTCATAGAGAGAAATCACAAGTAGGCAGAGAAGCAGGCAGAGCGAGAGGGGCAAGAAGGCTCCCCACTGAGCAGAGAGCCTGATGTGGGTCTTGATCCCACAACTCTGAGATCATGACCTGAGCAGAAGGCAGAGGCTTAACCCACTGAGCCACCCAGGCGACCAAATTAGGGTTCTTTATTAAAGACAAAAAAACAGTAGTTATGAGCCACTATACTTTTAAATTACATATAATGAATATGATTTAAAGAAATTCTCTACCAACCAGCTAAAAGATTAAGTATAATCAAGTAAGTACCTTTTTCCTAACTATCTTTTCTTCATGTTTACCAGAATATACATTTTCCTTCTAACTTACACTAAAGCTTAGAATTAAATTAGAATTAAAAGTGTTTCTGAGATTAAATACAAAGTTGTTGTACAAGCCATCTGAAACACCTCCTCCCAAGGAATATTAACTTGCAACAAGAATTAAAGGCCCAATACAGAAATTCTGCAAAGTGGCAGAATATAAAATCAATGCACAGAAATCAGTTGCATTTCTATACACTAACAATGAGACAGAAGAAAGAGAAATTAAGGAGTGGATCACATTTACAACTGCACCAAAAACCATAAGATACCTAGGGATAAACCTCACCAAAGAGGCAAAGAATCTGTACTCAGGAAACTACAGAATATTCATGAAAGAAATTGAGGAAGACACAAAGAAATGGAAAAACATTCCATGCTCATGGATTGGAAGAACAAATATTGTGGGTTTTTTTTTTTAAGATTTTATTTATTTATTTGAGAGAGAGAGAGAGAAAGCGCACATGAGCATGAACCAGGGGGAGAGGCAGAGGAAGAAGACGACTCCCTACTGACCAGGGAGCCTGAAGCAAGGCTCAATCCAGGACTTTGGGATCATGACCTGCACCTAACCAACTGAGTCACCCACGTTCCCCAAGAATACTGTTAAAATGTCTATGCTTCCCAGAACAATCTATATATTCAATGCAATCCCTATCAAAATACCATCAAGTTTTTTTCACAGAGTTGGAACAAATAATCCTAAAATTTGTATGGAACAAAAACACCCCAAATAGCCAAAGGAGTGTTGAAAAAGGAAACCAAAGCTGGTGGCATCACAATTCCGGACTTCAAGCTCTATTACAAAGCTGTCATCATTAAGGCAGTATGGTACTGGCAGAAAAACAGACACATAGATCAATGGAACAGAATAGAGAACCCAGAAATGAACGCTTAACTCTATGGTCTACTCATCTTCGACAAAGCAGGAAAGAATATCCAATGGAAAAAAGACAGTCTCTTCAACAAATGATGTTGGGAAAACTGGACAGCCACATACAGGAGAATGAAACTGAACCATTTCCTTAAACCATACACAAAAATGGTCTAAAAATGGATGAAAGACCTCAATGTGAGATAGGAATCTATCAAAATCCTAGAGGAGAACACAGGCAGCAACCTCTGTGACCTTGGCCACAGCAACTTCTTGCTAGATATGTCTCTGAAGGGGAGAGAAACAAAAGAAAAAAATAAACTATTGGGATTTCATCAAGATAAAAAGCTTTTGTACAGCAAAGGAAACAGTCAATAAAATCAAAAGACAACTGACAGAGTGGGAGAAGATATTTTTAAATGTCTTCTTATCAGATATCTTATCAGATAAAGGACTAGTATCCAAAATCCATGAAGAACTTACCAAATTGAACACCCAAAGAACAAATAACCGAATCAAGAAATGGGCAGAAGACATGAACAGACATTTCTGCAAAGAAGACATCCAAATGGCCAACAGAAACATGAAAAAATGCCCAACATCACTAGGCATCAGGGAAATACAAATCAAAACCACAATGAGATACCACCTCACAATAGTCAGAATGGCTAAAATTAACAAGTCGGGAAACGACAGATACTAGTGAGGAAGTAGAGAAAGGGGAACCCTCCTACACTGTTGGTGGGAATGCAAGCTGGTGCAGCCACTCTGGAAAACAGTATGGGGGTTCCTCAAAATGTTGAATATAGAGCTACCCTGTGCCCAGCAATTGCACTACTGGATATCTACCCCAAAGATACAAATGTAGTGATCCGAAGAGGCACCTGTACCCCAATGTTTATAGCAGCAATGTCCACAATAGCCCAACTATGGAAAGAGCCCAGATGTCCACTGACAGATGAATGAATAAAGAAGATGTGGTGTATATATACAACGGAATATTATGCAGCCATCAAAAATGGTATCTTGCCATTTGCAATGACATGGATGGAACTAGAGGGGATTATGCTAAGTGAAACAAGTCAATCAGGAAAAGACAATTATCATATGATTTCATATGTGGAATTTGAGAAAAAAATAAAGGAGCCTAGAAGAAGGGAGGGAAAAATAAAACAAGATGAAACCAGAGAGGGGGAGAAACCATAAGAGACTCTTAATCATAGGAAACAAACTAAGGGTTGCTGGAGGGGAGTGGTTGAGGGGATGGGTTAACTGGGTGATGGACATTAAGGAGGGCATGTGATGTAATGAACACTGGCTGTTATAAATGACTGATGATGAATCACTGAACTCTATCTGAAACTAATAATATACTTTATGTTAATTAATTGAATTTAAATTTAAAAAAAAAATTTTAAGAATTAAAAGCCTGTGGCATAGAATTCTTCTAATTTTGGTGAAAGCCAGGAACCACCAGCATCAGTTCTTGAAAGTCTTCTTTTTGGAGACTTCCATTTGTTCAGAGTAACTAATAAAAAGTAATCAACCTAGGCGTCACATAGGTGAATACACATATGAAAATTCAGGTTATATGCCCTTACAATTTGTGCACATTACTACCTGAAAGTTAGTCACTGATTTTTTTTTCAGGTAGGCTCACACCCAACATACAGCTCAATGCAGGACCTGAACTCAAGACCCCAAGATCAACACCTAAGCTGAGATCAAGAGTTGGACACTTAACTGATTGAGCCACCCAGGCAACCCAGACAGTGATTTTAAAAAGGGAAGACACCTTTTAAAGACCCTTGTTTATAATAGCAAAAGAAAAAATTCAGAAATAACCTCAATGTTCAATAATAAGGGATTGGTCACATAAAATATATGATATAGCTCTATGATGAAAATACTCTGCAACTAATTAAAGATCTTGTTGTTGTTAATACTCTGGTACATGGGAAAATTTTTTCATGTTTTAACATGAGATAACCCAAATGGTAAAATTATACATTCAGTTTGATCTCATGTATATAAAAAATCCATAGAAGTGAAAAAATGAAAAATATATGAAAATATTAATAGTGTTTACTTCTGAGAGAAAGAATTGTGGGTGTTCTTTTTTCCTTACTTGTTTCTATTTTCCTAATTTTCAATAAAATGTTATTATTTTATAAATTTGTTTTTTTAAGATTTTATTTATTTATTTGACAGAGGGAGAGAGATCACAAGTAGGCAGAGAGGCAGGCAGAGGGGAAGGGGGAAGCAGACCCCCCACTGAGCAGAGCGCCGGATGCAGGGCTCAATCCCAGGACCCTGAGATCATGACCTGAGCCGAAGGCAGAGGCTTAACCCACTGAGCCACCCAGGCGTCCCTGTTATTATTTTTAAAAGTATTATTAAAAATTTCTAATCATACACACACAAAATCCATCCTACTTCAGATATTCTCCATTTTCTTCCCCTTTTCTCTGGCTTTAGATGTTCTTATAATGGACATTAGCATAAAAGAAGTTCTAACTTGGAGAGCCTAGGCGGCTCAGTTGGTTAAGTGACTGCCTTCAGCTCGGGTCATGATCCCAGGGTCCTGGGATGGAGCCCTGCATCAGGCTCCCTGCTCAGTAGGAAGCCTGCTTTTCCCTCTCCCTCTGGGCTCTGCCTATTTGTGTCTCTTGCTCTCTCTGTCAAATAAATAAAATAGTTTCTAAAAAGTTCTAACTTATTTTTATTAATTCATTCAATAATTATCTGTTTAGTGCCTACTATATGCCAGATACTATTCAAAACAAAACAAAACAAAACTTTACCCTTATAAAGTTTAGTCAAAAGAGATAATCAACAAATAAAAAAGTAAAACATATTAAGCAGTGATAGTACAATAGATAAAAAAACATCAGGGAAAGGGGACTGAGGGTACAAAATGTATTGTGGTTTCAAATGGAGGGGGCGTAAAGGTCCAAAGGAAGGAGGGAGGAAGCTACACACTGTGGAAAGGAAGAGAAAAGAAAGAAAGAAAGAGGAAAAGGAAAGGAAGAGGATTCCAGGCCCCAAGGTGGGAGTCTGTCTGGTATGTTCAAAGAAGAGCACACAAAGGCAGCAGGTCTGAAATAAAGTGGGAGAAGTCAGAGAAATACTGGTAGGATGAATCTTGTAAACCATTTTTTAAAAACATGGCCCTTTAAGATGGGGAGCTACTGCAGAATTTTGAGCAGAGAGATGACATTATTGGAGTCAAATTTTAAAAGATCAGACTGAAACCACATAGAACTGTAAAGACAGATGGAAATCAAGATGGATGTACTAATGCTTCAGCATTTGTTTGACTCTCTGAGTTGAATGAATATTTCTCGTCCTCGTTCTTGAAGACCCCTCCCCCAGTCACTTGTGCTTCTCTGGGATCCTCTGTTCTGGGAACTTAGTATGAATGTTGAAACCTAGTAACCAGACTCACGGCCGGCACACGCACCAGTCACAAGACAACCTTGAAGACATGAGGAACGTGACTGGCAGCACATACCAGATTCCTAGCGGAACCACCCAGATCCTGTATTTTCCTATAAAACCCCTCAGCCTTTTCCCTGGGGCAGTCCGCAGTTTTGAAGGCATTGGCCTGCTCTGGCCTCCTTTGCCTGGCAATGTAATAAAACTATTGTAAGGGCCCATTTAGCCAGAGCAGCTCCACCTTGGTTGAACAGCCATTTCGTTGTTTATGCAGTAAAACCTACACTGACCCTGCCCCCCTCCCCAGGGGAACTTACTTAAAAGCAAGTCCGGGAAACCAGTAAAATATGGTCGACCAGTCCCTGATAACAGAGCCCAAATACAAGGGCGGGTCAGATCAGGTGGAGATAACAGCTCGAATGCAGGGATGAGGTGGGCCAGGTAGAGACATCCTAGCAGTGGGGCGCGCATACTATCTCCCTAGCTACCAAGGAGGGTGGGCCCCGCCTGTTGGGTGCCTTTTGGGCGCCAATTCTGACCAAGGCTAGTTCAAATAGCTACTATGAGGTGAATTGTAATTCAACTGGCCACCTGTGTGTGACCTACCATGATTGTGCAGCTTTCTCTGTGTGTGGCCAGGCTCAACCACATGGCCTTTGCTCTATAAAAGTTATTCTGTAAGGCAGGGAGGGGTTGCCCTCTCTGTAAGAGGTGGCCCCGAACGGTCGGTTTGTTTCTCGATGCTTGGCTCAAAATAAAGCTTTGCTTGACTTTTTCATTTTATTTATTTATTTATTTATTTATTTATTTATTTTTAAAGATTTTATTTATTTATTTGACAGACAAAGATCACAAGTAAGCTGAGAGGCAGGCAGAGAGAGAGAGAGAGAGAGAGAGAGAGAGAGGAGGAGGAAGCAGGCTCCCTGCTGAGCAGGAAAACCCGATATGGGGCTCGATCCCAGGACCCTGAGATCATGACCTGAGCCGAAGGCAGAGGCCTTAACCCACTGAGCCACCCAGGTGCCCCTTGACTTTTTCGTTTTATATCAGTCTCGTTCCTTTGATTATGGACCTAACACTATCATTCCTCTTTCTCCCCAAACTCGGTCTTTGCATTGTACTTTAGCCCTGGGGCACAGAGGTCGGTTTTGGACAACAGTCTTGGCTGGTGTGTGAAGAGACGACGGTGGTGTATGGGCAGAAGTAGAAGGCGGGTCAGAGGTTACAGCAACATGGCAGGCAAGAGATGCGAATGTCAGGAAGGGAAGCAGGGAGGACTCTGTATATGTAGTAAAAGGTGACTCTGCCACTGGAGAGGTGAGACGTGAGAGAAAGAAGGGGATCAAGAAGGACTCCAAGAGTTTTGGCCCCAGAAACTGGAAGGATGGAGTTGCCATTAACTGAAATGAGATGAGGGGGAGAGGAGTAGTTTTAGGGAAAAGAACAGGAATTCAGTTTGGGAATGTTACGCATCTAAGTAGAAGGGGGGAGGCTGTTGAATATTAAGTCTGGAATTCAAAGAGAAGATTGAAACTGGGCATACAAATTTGTGGAGAAGGGCAAAGCTCTAGATACATATTTGGGGTTTTTTGTCTTGTTTCATTTCGTTTTAAGATTTTATTTATTAGAGAGAGAGAGACAGTGAGAGAGGGAACACAAGCGCGGGGAGTGGGAGATGGAGAAACAGGCTTCCTGCTGAGCAGGGAGCCTGATGCACTCCATCCCAGGACCCTGGGATCATGACCTGAGCCGAAGGCAGATGTTTAACGACTGAGCCACCCAGGCGCCCCTGTAGATACGTATTTGTGAGCTGAGAATATACAGGTTGAGGACACTGAAAGCCAGGAAACTAAAGAGATTCATTTAGTCAGAGAATATAGATATAGAAACGATCCACAGAATGAACTCTCTACCATTTAGAAATTGGTGAAATGAAAAAGAATCTGCAAGAGATATCAGTAAGAAGAAGAGAGTAAAGTAGGAGGAAACTAGGAGAGTGTAATATACTGAAAGACATTGTTTCAAGCAACAGCAAGTGATCAGTTCTGATAAATGCTGCCAGTAAGTTAAAAGGGACTTGAGAAGCGACCTTTGGATTAAGCAACATGAAAGTCACTAGTGACTTTGACAAGTGTGCTTTGGTGGGGTGGGGGGAGTGAAAGCCTGACTGGAGTGGGTTCAAGTGACAAAGGGAGGACCAGGAGTAGACACAGTGAATGTGACAACTTTTTTTTTTTTTTAAAGATTTTATTTATTTCTTTGACAGAGACAGATCAGAAGTAGGCAGAGAGGAAGGCAGACAGAGGAGGAAGCAGGCTCCCTGCCGAGCAGAGAGCCCGATGTGGGACTCGATCCCAGGACCCTGAGATCATGACCTGAGCTGAAGGCAGAGGCTTTAACCTACTGAGCCACCCAGGTGCCCCATGTGACAACTTTTTGATGAAAATTATTATAAGCGGGGAGGGAGGTGGAAATGGGGCCATAGCTAGAAGGGGATATGCGTGTGGTCCTAAGAGACTTAGGAGTCTTTTTTGTTTTTTGGTTCTTGTTTTTGAGATGGGAGTACTTATAGCGTATTTGTATACTATTGGGACTAATCTGGAGAAGAGGGAAAAATTAATGATATGGGAGAAACAGGGAATATTTGCTGAAAATATCTTGAGTAGGTATGAGGTGATGGAATAATACACAAATGGAAAGACTGGCCTCAGAGAGGAAGAGAGAGTTTGTCCCCAGTAAAAGATGGGCATGTGCACCAGATGAGCACAGATGCAGGTGGGTGGGTACATGGAGGGGTGAGAGCTTGAGTTCTCTTCTGTTCGCTTCTACTTTTTAGAAAGCAAGGTCATCAGCTCAGAAAAAGGATGGAGAGATACTATTAGAAGAATGAGGATAGAAGACAAAGTATAAAATAGTTTTCTACTAAGACCAGAAGGGTGAATCATCTACAGAAAACAGCTGTATAATCAGTACATGAAAAAAGATCAAGGTACCCTTCTCATTCTAGTAAGAAATAAAACAGAATAAAAGTTAAGAATATATCCCTGAATTTAGATTTTGTATACATTTGTGGTTTTCTTGACATTAAAAAAAAAAAAGACAGTTACTCTTTGACACATCGTTTTAAAAAGCAGACTATGCTGAATTAAAAGGATCCTAAAACAAGATATAATGTGTGGCCCTATATTGGATACTCATTCGGACAACCCAATGTAAAATATATTTTAGGAATAACTGGGAAGTTTTGAATATGACCTGGGTATCTTGGAAAGTGAAACTTAACTCAAATAGGTGGACTTCTGACTAAAAAAAAAAAAAAGGCTATATAACGGTATATACAGTACAATTTAAAAACAATGCATGTGTGCACACATACATAGGGGAAAAAAGGATATACACTAAAGCATGTATAGCAGTAATCTATGGGTGGTGAAACTGATATTTTTAATTCATTTTTGCTTGTTTGTATTTCTACTACAAGGCACATAAAATGCTTCTATGATAGCATAATATTATTTTTAATCAATAAAATAAGAAAAATTAAAAATCAGATATATCATTTGATAATATATCCAAGAGATTCCTAGTAATCAGAACTCTAACTGAACATGAAATAGAGTAAAGGTCAGCAAACTACAGCCTGTGGGTTTAAACAGAACCTGCCACTTGTGTTTTGTATAGAATACAAGCTAAGAATTTTAGATTTTTAGTTTTTATATTTTAAATGGTTAAAAAAGCAATAGGATAACAGTATTTGGGGACACATGTAAAGGTTTATACCTTCACATTTCAGTGTCAGTAAATAAAGTTTTATTGGAACACAGCCATGTTTTGGTATCGCCCTTGCCTGCTTTTATAATGTAGTAGCACACATTAGGAAGGCAGAGTTGATTGAGTAGTTGCTTCAGAAACCGTATCTCACCACCTGACCCTTCACAGGAAAAGTTTGCTAACCTCTAAAATAGGATAAAAACATTAGGATCGGGGGCGCCTGGGTGGCTCAGTGGGTTAAGCCGCTGCCTTCGGCTCAGGTCATGATCTCAGGGTCCTGGGATCGAGCCCCGCATCGGGCTCTCTGCTCAGCAGGGAGCCTGCTTCCTCCTCTCTCTCTACCTGCCTCTCTGCCTGCTTGTGGTCTCTCTCTGTCAAATAAAAAAAAAAAAAAAAAAAAATCTTTAAAAAAAAAAAAACATTAGGATCATAATAGATTTATTAAAATCTTAAAAAGAACTAGACTCACACTAATTAGGAAAACACAAACAAAAACCAGATACCTTTTCATACCCTTTGGACTGATAAAAGATATGGACAAAGGGGAAATCTCATGCACTGATGAGAGGATATACCGGTTTGACTACTTTGTAGAGCATTTGGCAACATCCTAGCAAGACAAGGCCATGCAGAGCCTATGACCCAGTAATTCCACTTCTAGGGATACACCCTTGGAAAATTCACACAAGAAGACCCTAATGAGATGTGTATTAAACAGTGCCTGAGGAGTTAGTAAATATATTGATTAAAAGATCCTTGTATATATATTAACTCCTCCAGGCACTGTTGTAATAAAAAAGTTCAAATGTTTCTATAAAATTTTGTTTCTTCAAATAAGGTGTGAAGCATGTATGACATAAGGGCTAACATCTGGTTAACTCACCTGGCATTCTTTTCAGCATCTAAAAGAGCTTGCGCCAAATCCTTGTGTGCCTTCTCTGTTTCCTTTGTTAATTTCATATCATGTGCACGAACCAGACATAGCTCCCTGAAATAGAGCAAAGAAATTTTATATCCATAGTTGAAGAGTTCCGGAAAGTTTCTACCCAGGAAATCCGATTTATACTCGGGAATCTTCTCAGTTATGTGTACATTTCTTCCTAGTTTTTACACCTTGTAAACCAAATCAAGAAATCTAGTGTCCATTTAGATGGAATTATTGCCAGTGGAATCCAGTTAGCTGGAAAGGGCCGAAAGATTATGTGAAAGATCTTCTCAAATTGGATGAAGGCAGATGCTAATAGGCAAGGCCACCAGGCTGCTCTATCCTACCTTCTGACATGCCTATCTTACCCTCTTCATTCTTGCTACCAATCATCTTGACTCAGGTTACATGAGCACTAACCTTGACTGCTATGTAACGCTTATCCTCTTTTGGATTTAAACCTTAACATCTGTAATCATGGCACTGCTCTGTAAACATGATTAAGATCAATATCTCAATTCTGGAGAAAGAACAGGAATTGTCTCCCTATCAAACATACATAGAGCCCTAGTTTTGTGTTAATCTGTGTAACCCAGGTCTCTACTTCTACATCTAGTCCTTTCCGTTCTCTTCCTAAACCCCCCAAAAGAAAAAAAGAGTCCTCTCTTTTAACCATTCTACTCGTATTTTTATTCTCTTCAGAGACACGGTTTTGACTTGTGTCTTGTGTTTGAGATAATCACAGATTTTACCTGGTCAGTTCTTCAATAACATTCTTAAAATTGTACAGCTCTTCTAGAATGCGCTGGTCCATCATTCGCTGAGTTACCAAGTCTTTGTAGAAATCAATCATCTGTCTGGCAATTTGGTCAAGCATTTGTACATACCGCTCTCTGCATGAGGAAGAAAACAAGGTATCATGCAAAAAAAGGAAAAGAGAGCCAGAAAATATATGAAAGAAAAAGTAATGTTAGGGAAAGCAATAGTAGATACTCATAAAAGATATGCAAGAAGAACAAAATAGGAAAAGAAAGGGATCTAACATGTATATTCCTGCCATGCTCACACAAGCGAATAAACTGTGGAAGATTTTAAGCAGAGTCATAATCATTTGGAATGTAATGTCTGAGATGTAAAGCAAGAGGAGGAATCCTTTTATACCTCCTCCTAAATTATAAACTCTATGAGGATAGAAAGCATGTCTTATTTATTTATATAGAATGGGATTTTTTTATAAATAGTTGAATTAATGAGTAAAACCACTTTTCCCAAGTTGTTTAAATGTCAAAAGACACCAACTGTTCAAAAATGAATAAAGACCCTAAATCAAAAGAAGCCATTTCTTTCAGTTTCAAATAAAACTAAATATTTGGAAGTGATTACAAATGAAAAATTACAAATACCATTCTAAAGCAATCTTTCTTTATATTAAAAGTGATCTAGGTGTTATATCCTAAGCCTGAGACTGGCAATATATAATATTTTTGAATTGGAATGGCCATTTAGTTTAATATCTCACCCATAATAGAAAGAATTATCCAGGCTTTGCTCAAACACCTAGAGTCACGGAGAGTTTGTCAGTTTGATATGCAGTTCATATACTGGAAATATCAATTTTAAACACACCTTCTTTAGGACTTCCCCTCCTGGAAATACAAGGACAAAATAATCTGAAGGGTCTTCTTATTACACTACAACTAGATCCATGACAGAGCATACTTTCGGAAGCATTATTGGGCTTGCAAGTAAAGCACAGATGTCTCCAGGGGCAACAAACAAAAACTATAAACAAGATACAATAAGCTAAGAAAGGATTGGGAAATGGTAATCAGTGTTCACTAGGCAAACCCAAGTCATGTTGCCCCAGTGAAAATAGTAACATTGGGTGGAAAGGGTAAGATGGCAGAGTAGGAAGATTCTGAACTCACATTGTCCCATGGACATACCAAGGCTGCTACTACATACAGTGCAACTTACTCTGCAAAAGACCAGAAGATGAGCAGAACAGTACTTCCAACAGTATTTCCACTTTATATAAAGATATAAATAAAAACCTACATGAAGAAGGGTAGGAGGGGCAGAGAGAGAATCAAGAACTAAATCCCTGGTGTGGAGACCCACAAGCAGGGATATCACAGGTGTGGAGGTCCCTGCACAACCTGCCCACCCTGGCAACTGTGTCTTCCAAAGTGACTACTGTTGTATCACACCCAGCAGGTATCACACCCAGCAGGCATGCCTCCAAAGTGAGTCCTACCCCAGGGAGAGAAGGAGTCAGCCCCACCCACTGCCATGCCTACAACAGTCCCGCTGAACCTCACAGCTGGCCATGCCAGGAGCCAGCCCCACCTACCTACAGTGCACCCACAGCAGTTATGGCCCAATCAAGAAGGTTCACACAGTTCACACAGGGGTCATCCCTGGAGCACCTAATTCTGGAGACCAGCAAGGACTGCATTACTGGGTCCCACAAGATGCCTTCTACATAAGGTCACTCATTTGAGACCAGGAGACATAGCTGACCTACTTAATACATACAAACAAATACAGACTTAAACAAAACAAAGAGAGAGAAGAACATGTTCCAAACAAAACAATAAGACAAAACTGCAGAAAAATAACTAAACGAAACAGAGATAAGCAACCTACCTGATAATGAGTTCAAAGTAATGGTCATTTAAGATGCTTGGGAGAAGAGTGGATGAACTGATTATGAATTTCAACAAAGACAGAAAATTAAAATTTTTTAAAAATGAAGCTGAAGAATAACTGAAAAGAAATATACACTAAAGGGAATCCAAAGCAGATAAGAGGATGCAAAATGGCTTAGAGATCTACAGACGAGGTAGTGAAAATCATCTGAGGTGAACAGCAAAAAGAAAAAAGAATTTAAAAAATGAGGACAGGGTAATGGACCACTAGGCAACATCAAATGCACTAACATTCACATTATAGGGGTCTCAGAAGGAGGAGAGAGAAAGGGGCAAAAAACTGATTTGAATAAATAATAGCTCAAAACTTCTGTAATCTGAGGAAGGAAACAGACATCCAGATCCAGAAAACACAAAAAAAAAAACCAAAAAAGATGAACCCAAAGAGGTTTGTACCAATGCACATATTAATTAAAATGCTAAAAACTGAAGAAAAAGAGAATATTAAAAACAGCAAGAGAAAAACAACTAGTTATGTACAAGAAAACACCCATAAGTGTAGTAGATGACTTTTCAGCAGAAACCCTGCTAGCCAACAGGAGTGACTTGATATATTCAAAGTGCTGAAAGGAAAAAACTGACAACCAAGCATAGTCTACCTGGTAAGGTTATCATTCAGAACTGAAGGAGAGCTAAAGAGACAAACAAAAATTAAAGGAATTCATCACCACTAACCCGGCCTTACAAGAAATTTTAAAGGGACTTCTTTAACCAAAAAAGGAAGGGCCACAAGTAGAAGTTAGAAAATTATGAAGTAAAAAAAATGGTAAAAGCAAGCATATGCTAAAGGCAATATACCTTGGTAATATACCAATCACTTATAAAGTAGAATTAAGGTTAACAACAAAAGCAATAAATCAATTATATCTATAATAATTAACTAAGGAATATATAAAATTAATTAAGGAATATATAAAATATAAAAATGTCAAACAGGATGTCAAATACATAAAGGGCTGCGTGGGGAGTTTTAATTTAAACAACTGTCACCTGCCTCCTTAGCGCAGTAGGAATCGCGTCAGTCTCATAAACTGTCAAGTTAAAGTAGACTATTAATGGGGCACCTGGGTGGTTAAGATGGTTAAGCATCTGCCTTCAGCTCAGGTCATGATCTCCTGGTCCTGGAGGTCAGAATCTCCTGGTTCCATGTCAGGATCCTGGCTCAGTGGGGAATCCATGGGGACTCTGCTTCTCCTTCTGCCTCTCTGCCCCTGATCACACTCTCTCTCTCAAATGAATAAAAAAAAATCTTTTAAAACAATAAATAAATAAAATAAAATAGACTGTTAAGGGGAACCTGGGGCTCACTTGGTTAAGTGTCAGACTCTTGATTTTGGCTCAGGTCAGGATCTCAGGGTTGTGAGATTGAGTCTTGTGTGAGCCTGCTTAAGATTCTCTCGTGCTCTCTCTCTCTGTCCCTCCCCTGCTCACAGGCACAGGCACATGCTCTCTCTTAAATAAATAAATAAATCAGACTATTAAATAAAAAGGTCTTTTTTTTTTAAATTTTATTTAGTTATTTGACAGAGCAAGAGAGCACAAGCAGGGAGAGCAGCAGAGGGAGAGGGATCATGACCCAAGCCAAAGACAGACCCTTAACCAAGTGAGCCACCCAGGTTTATATATAAACCTCATGGTCATCACAGATCATGATCTCAGGGTCATGAGATTAAGCCCCATGTCAGGCTCTGCACTGGGCATGAAGCCTGCTTAAGATTCTCTCTCTCCCCCTCTCCCTCTGCCTCTCTCTTGCTCAGGAGCACACACATGTTCTCTCTCAAATAAATAAATAAATATTTAAAGTAAATAAATAAATAAATACCTGTTAAATACATAGGGTATTACAGATAAACTTCATGGTAACCACAAACCAAAAACCTCTAATAAATAGGGGTGCCTAGGTCGCTCAGTCATTAAGCATCTGCCTTCATCAGCTCAGGTCCTGATCCTAGGTTCTGGGATTGAGAACCACATTGGGCTCCCTGCTCGGCAGGAAGTCTGCTTCTCTCTCTCCCACTCCCCCTGCTTGTTTTCCTGTTCTCGCTGTCTGTCTCTCTGTCAAGTAAATAAATAAAATCTTTTAAAAAACAAAAAAACTATAATAAATACATAAGAAACCATAAAGAGAAAGGAATCCAAGCACAATACTAAAGAAAATCATCAAATTGCACTAGAAGAAAGGAACAGAGAAGAACTATAAAAAGAACCAGAGGGTGCATGGCTGGCTCAGTCAGTAAGCATGCAACTCTTGATCTCGGGGATCTAAGTTTGAGCCTCATGTTAGGTGTAGAAATAAAATTAAAATCTTTGGGGCACCTGGATGGCTCTGCCTTCTGGGTTAAGCCTCTGCCTTCAGCTTGGGTCATGATCTCGGGGTCCTGAGATTGAGCCCCACATAGGGCTCTCTGCTCAGCGGGGAGCCTGCTTCCCTTCCTCTCTCTCTGCCTGCTTCTCTGTCTACTTGTGATCTCTCTGTCTGTGAAATGAACAAATAAAATCTTAAAAAATAAATAAATAAATAAATAAAATCTTTGGGGAAAAAAAAGAGTTAGAAACAATTAATAAAATTGCAATAAGTACAAACATACCAATAATTACTTTAAATGTAAATGAATTTATTTTGGTTCTAACCAAAATAAATAAATAATAAATACAATAAAATAGAAGACTCTGATATGCTGCCTACAAGAGACTCACTTCAAATACAAAGACATATACAAAATGAAAGAGAAGGGATGGAAAAGGGTATTCCATGCTAATGGAAGTGAAAAGAAGCTATGGTAGCGATACTTATATCACACAAAATAGACTTTACAACAACGAACATAACAAGGGACAAAGAACAGCATTACATAATGATAAAGGGAAAAATTCAACAAGAGGATACAGCAATTTATTTCTCAACAAATTCAACAACCTAGAAGTACAATCTTCCCAGACTCAAGCAGGAAGAAATAGAAAATCTAAACAGATTAATTACTAGTAATTAAATTGAATCAATAAACAAAAAAAAAATCTCAAAATCAACAGAAGTCAGGATCAGAGGTGAATTCTACCAAACATTTAAAGAAGAGTTAATATCTATTCTTAAACTATTCCAAAAAATGAAAATGGAAGAACTGTTTCAAATTCATTTGATAACAGCAGCATTACCCAGATAGCAAAACCAAAAACACCACAAA